AAGTCCTATCGTGAATTTTTCTTGCATGCAAGTTCTTTGGTAAAAAAATCAGTTGTTAGTTTTTCATAGCTCGAAGATTTGTCGTGATAAATATTCGCTCGCGATTATTATGTGTTTTTGGTTCACATTGCTAAATAAGTGACAAGGTATCCAAGTTTAATTGGATTATTTGAAATTAGATTTTCAATTCAATCGAAGAATAGATACTTGAAAGTCATTTGACAAAAGCTTGAGTTTATTACTTCATGAGTTAAGTTATATCCCCATGGAATCAACATCTTTCTTTTCTTGGGCTTTTCGCTACTCGGCTAAATTGGGTCATTAAAATATTACTTGGCCCAAGTGATATGTCGGGCCTCACTTTGAACCATTGAGATCCATTTGCCCTCTGGCTGAGTAGACAGGCCCAACCCATTTATACTCCACTCTTCTCATGCCTTGTGCCTCATGTATTTTCCCAAATTTTAAAAGGTGGCAATGTACCTATTTTTTTTTTTATGAATTTTCATTATTTTGAATGTTTGAAATTTACCTTTCATGATCAACCTTTTTAATAATACACTTCTAATTATCTCAATTAAAATCTTTTTAGGAGCTTAAACTCCCTTTGCAACAAAGTAGCAATTATGAAGAACTTGAAAAATATTATAATAGGACTGCAATAAAATCATTTATAACACTTAATTTGAAAGTTCAACGTTGAAATGTGAAGAAGTTGAAATTATTAATAACCCTATGATAAAATCATTGTTAACACGAGGGTGTTTGGTAGAGATTAAAATCGGATTAAAATTGAAAAATTAGCTGTTGTTGTTAACTTTTATTAGATGAATGGGACCCAATAACGGCTATATTTTCAATTTTAATTGAATTTTGAGTCGTACCAAATAGGCCCTAGTTTCAACGTTTAAGCTATCATGTCATAGAAAAGAATGCTACAGAGTTCGCACATCGTATACAAAATATGAAAAATTTGTAGATGGATTGAGACTCGAGATGTATTATTAGTATTTTCGTTATTCGCGATGAGCAATAAAAGCAAGATATATATATATGTTAATCAACTCATCAAGCGGAATCCATGAAAAATTGACTAGTTTGTAGGTTTCGAACAACTACTCATATCTAATATTCACTTATATTCTATGACGAATGATTATTTATAACTCATGGTTAACATTTGCTAAGGTTTTTAGTTAGGACAATGTTTAAGATATAAAACTCTTGTTCGATAAAGCTTTTTTAAGATTTTAAGTTGCTCAAACTTAATTTTTAATCACATGTTTTAATTGATTTACAAGTATTATCTACTTTTTAATTATACATTTTCAAAAGTATTACTGAACGTGTTTAAAGTCAAATGATTACTATTGGTCATAATCCTAGTCTAACTAGGGTTTAAGAAGAGGGGCAAGTGAAAATCATTATTTTTGTTTTATTTGTTTGTGTAAGTATTGGCTGGCAAGTGACATGTCACATGCTGGACAGTTTTCTCATGTGAGCTGCTGCTTCATATGCAAGTTTTGTTTATTTTTTCGCAACTCCGTCCGTCGGGTCCACTCAAATAAATACAATACTTGTAAAATGACCATTATGCCCTTAACGACTTGGCTACTGTACTATGTAATTGACACATAAACCCTAATCAACCACTCAATCATAATTTTTGATCCAATCATGCTATAAGTACCAAAAATTTTAACTTGAAATTTTCATCGATAACACATGGCATGAAATTATTGAAAAATGAGAAAAAAAATGCGTATGAGGTTCCGCCACATCAGCATTTGTATGAATTCAATAATGAATTCCATGTACTTGAGACTTTATCCTTTTTAATTCGGAGGATTAGTTGCGAATATACTAATTAGCTCTTGGATGGTAAAACTTATTATTATTAATATTATTTTAAAATTTAAGTTAGTTGAACTCTATTTTTAATCATAGAATTAATTTGATCAATAATTTTTATTAAGCTCATGTTTGGTACGCATTCTTTCAAAATATATTCTTTCAAAACTCATTTTCAATCACACATTTTGCTATAAAATAATATTTGTCATCATATCAATAATTTTTCCTTACTTTTTAATCACATATTTTCCATCATATCACTATTTAAAATATATTCTTTTCTCAATAATATTCATCAAACACACTATAACATTTAGATACAAATTTTATTAGGCTGTATTTGAGCCACATTATTTTGGAAGAATGTATTTTGGAATAATATATTGATAGAGAATGTGTGGTTGAAAATGAAGAAAAAATTATTGATGTGATGAAAAATATTATTTATTGAAAAATGTATAGTTGAAAATGAGTAGAATGATGATAATGCGAATTTCAATGTGGTTCAAACAGGGGCTTAGACTCACTAACTTATAAGCTATTCATAGGCTTTGTCTATTATAAGTAGTCCATGTGACGCTTCACAAGGCATAAAAGTCAAATAACCATTTTTATTACGGTAAAATGTGTTAGTAGGATAAAGGAGCTTTTTGATTCATATGGAGCTGTTGAGGCTCGAACCCCTGATCTATGATGTGTGCTCCCAAAATTGGTTGAAGTCGTGTTTTACAAAAGAGCAACTCTTTTAGTATTGCAACTTATCTTCTGATGGCGACACGTGGTCTCTTGCTGGCCCTTGGATCTATGGTTTGTTAGTATGTGATATATATACCAAACTCGAGATATTTTCTCATTCGATCTTGGCTTTTGGGCTTCTCTCGTTTCTTCTAAGTTCTTCTGAGTCTCTCTCTTCTTGTAACTAGGGTTAGAGATCTTCGTGTTCTTCATCCCTTATGATGAACCTATAAACTGAGATCTATTAGTGGTTAAGCCTATGTAATCTATTGTCTTTGTGATATCTGAGAGAATAAAGGGTTTCTTGCAGTGGTTTAGTGCAGTAGGCTGTTGAAGGCTGTCTTTTGTGACTCCTTCGTTTGATCTGCAGTTTGATGTTTAGATATGTGTTTTTGTGCCTTTTCTCTTGTATTTGAAGAACGATCTGTAATTTTGTTGTCATTTTGGGCTTATTAGTGCAATTGAGCATTTATTTATTTAATGGATGCTCAACGGGGGATGTAGGCGTTAGATCCGGTCGTCAAACCTCCGGGGCTTAGGCTAAAACATATTTTGTGTCCATTTTAATTTCTGCAACGTTTACTTATTGTTGTGATGGATTCTTTTGTATCTTGTTTTAATATTGTGTAGTTTGGGCCTTTTCAGGAACTTCACGTAGATTGCACATTACTCTCCCTCCCTCCCTCCCCATACCTTTGTTGATATTCTAATGTATGATCAAAATTTGTTTGAAGCGATTTTCACAATAGCTCGTGGTTCTTGATCAAAACTTTCTTGTTTGATTTGAGTCAAGGGTATTACTACTATAAATTTGATATAGTTGTTGGTAAAATAGTATATTTGACAAATTTAATAAGATGAATTTATAATTTTGGTGAAACTTAAACTTTATGGTATTGTACTCTTGACCTTTATCTCGAGTTAATCCAAATTACTTAAGTTTTTTGGCACGTTAATTTTGAGTAATTTTAAAGCTTTTGTAAAAAAAAAATAAAAAAATTGTGCATTTATTTTCCATCAGCTTTGGGCTCAAATTTTTTTTATTAGTTTTCCACCTAAAATCTAATAACAAGTTATAAATCCAGAAACTAATGCATATTGTCACTCTTTAGTGGTTATAGACATGGTAGCTGTATCTAATTTTCAATGATTAAATTGCTGGTGAATTGCTCATAATGATGATATTATGTAGGAGAATAGTAAGTAGTAAGTTATGTCCATTTTATTGGACTAAATGATTAATACTACTTACCTAAAAGCAACAAGGAGAGAATGAAATACATGTTATTGGGATGTCAACATTGATTCTTGATCTTTGATGTGCTTTAGGTGTCGCAAAAGATATTTCTAGCGTTTCGTCTCGAATTATTAGCTTATCTAAAATTTAGTATTAATCTTCTTAATAAGCAAGAACTTAAAAGGACTCGATTGCTTTGCTATGATGTTTTTTGAAAGAGTAACGGAAGAGAAATTGTGTACAAGTATAAATCAAGAAAAACTAACAATGACTGTCATTGTACTACGTGGAAGTAGTTCAGCGAGACTCGAACAAGAGGAAAATAATATTTTTATCGTCACTACTAAGAAAACTATTTAATAAAGTTAGATGCTTCATGTTTAACGAAAATACATACATAAACAACATTGTACTTTTTAAGCTTAGACATTGAAGTATTATCAATGTTCATTAATACTATGATAATACCTTTACGTATTACGTTGCACTGCATTTTAATTACAATGAATGTTCTCAACTCGTGCTTATTATTGTACTTCGCATTCTTATCTTTGACCTTCAATTAATTAGGATATTTTATACTTGATAATAATTTATGTTCAAATATTCTATTAGCCTACTTTGATATAAATGATAAATATTTTGTCAAATTTGTATATTTTAAATTCGAGAGAAACATTCCGCGGGACTCCTTTTCAAGCCCCGTAGATTACTGTGAAGTCAAAGGGCAGTTACGTCATTTACCAAGGGTAAATCCATCACATCATATGTTTCAAATTTTCGAAAAGGGTAATTATATTACCACTACAAAATTTACTTGATACACCACATTATAATTACACCACAATTAAAATATTTTTTCAATAAATACACCACAATAAATTTACAATTATACTCATAATCTAATAAAAACTAAAAAAAATTAAAAAGAAAAAAAACAGAAATATCGTGGTGTGCTCATCACCCCAATATGACTCCTCATTTTTCTCATCCTTTAAACATTTTCACTGATTCTAAAACAAGAATTTGTAGTATTCTCAAAAAAAAAAAAAAAAAAAAAAATACTGTGGTGTACTGATCATATGCTGTCTCTGGCGTCTTCCATGTCAACAAAGTTACCCATACCCATGGCAAAACAGGAGTCCAAACACTGTTGGAGAAGATAGATCAAGAAATGCAGATGTATAAAAGGTGAAGGATTCCAATTTGAGATACAATAGTCAAATAGAGAATAAATTCATTTACCGTGAAGAAAAGAAAATTATCTTGCTTTCGTGGAAGAAAGCAAAAGCCGCCGAAATAACTATAGAAAGAAATTAGATTTTATATTTGTGGTGTAACAATAATTTATTTCATAAAAAAATATTTTAAAACCCTAATTATGTAATTTTACTTAAAGATATTTAAGTGAATAAGAAAATTATGGTGTACTTAATAAAATTTGTAGGGGAATATAACCCATTCGAAAAATATCAAAACTCACTCTGTCCCCGTTTGCACCACCATTTTACTTTATTAAAATGAAAAATATGACTGTTATCAATCACATCAACATTTAAAATCAAATTTTCTATTTCTTGCGTGAGTGCTAATAACGACTATATTTTTCATTTTTATTCTACAAAAATGTTGCTCAAACAGGGCCTCAATTGCACATTCCAATGTAATCTACACCTTCCGTTCCAAATATCCGACGGCACTCAATGGCCTAAAAATGAAATAGGAGGGAAACAAATAGTCGGCAACCTAGGTTAAAGTGCCATATAAAATCCCATCTATAGGGTTAGCATTTTTCACTAATCGTTGCAGTATACAGTTATTACTCTCTATCGATCGACTTTTAAACTTCTCCATTTTTTCGGATTTTATAAGGTAATTTTTTTTTCTCTTTCTGTATCTATTTATCATTTGTACTTTAGATCTTCATTTTTTATGTTGTAGTTTATCAATTTTATAGGTTTATACTGCTTGTATACGTATCGTTAGTGAACTCAGTTTGCTTAATTTTGCCTTTCGTTGAATTAATTTCGAGTTTTATTTTTGAATTGTACTGGCTTGATTACTTATTATATGATTTTCGTGTTTTCTAGACTTCAATGTGCTACTCTTGGTGGATCGATTTATTAGTAATTCCGATCTTCATTTTTGAATTTGTATCATCATCATTATTATTTACCGATTCTATGTTTAGCATATACTGTCTTAAAATACTCTAATTCTACCTTTCATTACATAAATTTTAAGGTTTTATGAAATATACTGGTTGGCTTAATTGTCATACAATTTGTGTTTGTCCTAGACTTGAATGTGCTGCTCTTGGTGGATCAAGTTAGCAGTACTTCAGATCTTCATTTTTGAACTTGTAGTTAATTGATTTTGTTAATTTTTTACTTGCGGGCTTGTTTGAGCCCCATTGTTCTGGCAAAGAATGCATTTTTGAATAGTGATTAATGAGGATGTGTGGTTAAAAATAAGGGAAAGCTTTGGACTTGCGTGTAATATTATTTTATTGAATAATGTGTGGTTGAAAACAAGAGAAAGAAAAATGTATTTTGGAAATAATGAAGATCAAACAATTGAACTTAAATTACTCGATTTTTACCTTTCATTACATAAATCTATAATTTTTTTTTGAAATTTACTGGTTTGCTTAATTTGTTATACCATTTTCGTCTTTTACAGACTTGAATATATAACTGATCGAGTTATTATCTAATAATTAGGCTGGCTTTAGTTGTGATTTAGCATCACATTAAATTGCAGTGCATGTAGTGTACGTTTTTAAAGGTTTTCTGCCAAAAAATTAGAGATCTGGCGACGATTTGGTAGTCAGATCCACAAGTCCATAAACTTTCTTACCGTAGTGATGGTGAATATGGTTTGAAAATTTAGGCATAACTTTATTAGAACTTCCTAGTATTGAAAGGAGATTTGTCATGTTCCCTGATGGATTTGTACGTACTATAGTTGCTTCAACAATTACAGATTATAAATGTTTTACATTACCAACTTTAGATTTTGGTTAATAATTTTATCTATTCACATAAAATCTCTTAGGTTAAGGGCGTTTCTAAAAGGGTTTGTCATATTTCTCTGTAAGCCAGGCAAAATGAGAGAAATCCTTCACATTCAGGGTGGTCAATGTGGCAATCAAATAGGATCGAAGTTCTGGGAGGTTGTATGTGATGAGCATGGCCTAGACCCTACAGGGCACTATGTGGGAACCTCAGATTTGCAATTGGAGCGTGTCAATGTGTACTACAATGAGGCCTCTTGTGGAAGATTTGTCCCTCGTGCAGTGCTCATGGATCTGGAGCCTGGCACTATGGACAGTGTCCGTACTGGTCCATACGGGCAGATCTTCAGGCCTGATAACTTTATATTCGGCCAGTCTGGGGCTGGAAACAACTGGGCTAAAGGTCACTACACTGAGGGAGCTGAGCTTATTGACTCTGTTCTCGATGTCGTGAGGAAGGAGGCTGAGAACTGTGACTGCCTTCAAGGTGCATTTTTGAGACTATTAAAAGCTTCTCTCTTTTATTAGACTGAAATGTTGAGGAAACATCTTGATATATGTAATATGCATGGGTATGCAAATTATATTCCTGTAATTTATTGGTTATGGTTTAGCAAGTTGCAGGTCTAGCATTTGAGTCGAGATTTTTGCTGGCATGTCACCCTAACCTTATAAGCTTAGTAATACATTATGTTGAAAGATATTTGCGTAACTTAGGTTAGGTAATCCAGTAGTTGATACTTTTATTGATGAAATGTATCTAATTCTAACAGTTATCTTTTTGCAGGGTTCCAAGTTTGCCACTCACTTGGTGGAGGAACAGGTTCTGGAATGGGTACCTTGCTGATCTCTAAGATCAGGGAAGAGTACCCTGACAGAATGATGCTCACATTCTCTGTGTTCCCATCACCAAAGGTTTCAGATACAGTGGTTGAGCCATACAATGCTACCCTTTCAGTGCATCAGCTTGTTGAGAATGCAGATGAATGCATGGTGCTCGACAATGAAGCTTTATATGACATCTGTTTCAGAACACTCAAACTTACTACTCCTAGTTGTGAGTATATTTCACTGAACTCACTGTCGAACTTAGTGTGTGGATTGCCTGGCATATTATTTGAAGTTTTTATCACACCTTGTTGCTTGTCTTTACTTTTTATTTTTTTCGCTTGTAAAAGAAACTTGAATAGGTTTGTCCGTTACTGTTTCACTGTTGTTAACTATCACTTGACAACGTATTTTATATAAAAATCTGTAGTTGCCAAACTAGGTTTAGAATAGTTAGGCCACTCTACTCAGTATAACAAAATTTACTTACGATCTCACCCTTGTAATTTATTTTTGTATTCCAGTTGGTGATCTGAACCACTTGATTTCTGCAACCATGAGTGGGGTGACTTGCTGCCTCCGATTTCCTGGTCAACTTAATTCTGATCTTCGAAAACTTGCTGTCAACCTGATTCCATTCCCCCGTCTGCATTTCTTCATGGTGGGTTTTGCTCCTCTGACATCTCGCGGTTCCCAGCAATACCGTGCACTTACAGTCCCCGAGTTGACCCAACAAATGTGGGATTCCAAGAATATGATGTGCGCTGCTGACCCCCGCCATGGACGCTACCTCACTGCCTCAGCCATGTTCAGAGGCAAAATGAGCACAAAAGAGGTGGACGAACAAATGATTAATGTTCAAAACAAGAACTCTTCTTACTTTGTCGAGTGGATTCCAAACAATGTGAAATCAAGTGTTTGTGATATCCCACCTAGAGGGCTTTCAATGTCATCCACCTTCATTGGGAACTCAACCTCCATTCAGGAAATGTTCAGAAGAGTGAGTGAACAGTTCACTGCTATGTTCAGGAGGAAGGCTTTCTTGCATTGGTATACTGGGGAAGGAATGGATGAGGTGGAATTTACAGAAGCAGAGAGTAATATGAATGATCTTGTGTCCGAGTACCAACAGTACCAGGATGCTACAGCCGATGATGAAGGTGAATACGAGGATGAGGAAGAAGAGGAGGGCATGGAGCACATGTAAAGACTCCTATGAAAATTCATAAATGTTGTTCCTTCTGTTGTATTGGGTGTATAGGGGTCCTAAAAATGTTCTAGTTTTTTAGAAGCCGCGATGAAAGTGAGTATGTTTTTGTGAAGAATGCTGGCTAGGTTTGTGAGTGAACCTAGTTGTGTTATATGTTTAAATTTTCAGAACCATTACTATTTTTTATATCAAATTTGTAGTCAAAATTTATGCTATTGCATGTTTTCCAGTATTTCATTTTTTACATTTTGTTTCAAGGATTATGTTCACAATCCTACTTTCATGTCTTTTTAATTAGAAATGAAATGACTCCGGTGAAGAAAGGCCAATCACAATTGTTGGCTTATTTGACTCGGGCAGATTCATTCATACTCAATCCCTCTTCATAAATTACATTTACCTCTTTAGGGAAGTCCTCACAAATTATGATCAAATCAAAAATTCCATTTATTGGGACAGTTGAAATGACGCTAAATGCTGTAATATTGGGCACAAAACAAGCCTTGGACTTTTAAGATTATGGTTTATTGAGGTTGGA